AAAAAGTTAGGAGATCCATGTAATAATTTTTTAAAATGTAAGGCTAAATAGTAAGCCATTAATCTATCCTTTATAAATAAAAGAAAAGATAATTAAAAATATGATTATAAGATTTTTTTAATTATGGATAATTAAAGAGAATTAAAAATATAGCTATTTTTTTAGTTATAAATAATTATGATTTTATTAGGATTTCTAAATATTTGATTATAATTAGAATTTTCTGATTATGAATAGATCTAATTTGATAAAGACTTAAATTATAGATAGAGAAAACCCATTCATATAAGAATTTTCTTTGGGCCGTTGTGATGTCCAAAGTTCAACACGGGTGCATTTTGTCAATTCCAATCATCTAAGCAACTGAAAGCTTTTTTTCCCCCTCCTGGGGGTCTTCGCTTTCTTTGGCAATCAAACCAAGATTCTAGGGCTTTAACCTGAACAATGTAAAAAGATTCTACGATGCTTTCCCAATATCAGTAGCAAGGAACTCCACAAAAGCAGGCCCTGCATTGAGCAAAACATTCTTCAACCCAAATGGCGGCCGCAGCGCACCTCACACCTTAATTATTTATATCATGAGAATATTCCATTGAAATCTTGTACAACAAATCTACCAATGGATATATTTCAAATATAAGTTGCATGACAACTACTGATGGATAGCCATTTTTCGCATTGGTTTGAACCGACTAAATTGAGACTCGTACTCATAATGGTTCTACCATCCTAGATGTAGAAATGGCGAGCGTATGGAGAAGACCGCTTGGACAGACATGAGTGTGCTTTTGAGAGTCTGGTGGTCGACCGCGGGATTCTGACGGTCGACCGCATTCGTGCACAAATCGTTTCTGAGCTTCTGGGAGTTGGCGGTCGGCCGTGGAGGTCGACCGCGAAAGTCTCTAGANGGCCCCCCGCCACGGTCGACCGTGCCCGTGGCCAGAAGTCTCTGGAGTTGGGGCGGTCGACCGTGGCGGTCGACCTCGATGCGGTTATTGGGTTAGGTCTGTTTCCAGACCCGTTTCGTTTGGGTTTGTTATAAATACCCAAAGTCACGTTTTTAGGGTTAGAGCAAGAGGGTTTTAGCAGCCATTGAGAGGGGTTTTGTGGGCTTCTATTGTTGGAGCATTAGGGAGAGATCAAGAGTGATTTGTTGTGGGTTTTAGTGAGATTTGTAACCCTAGTTGTATCCCCTTGATTTCTAATAGTGAAAACTCCCCCTTCCTTACCCCATGGACGTAGGCAATTGCTGAACCACGTTAAATATTGGTGTTTGTGGTTTGTGCTATTGATTTGGTTGTGTTTGCTCCTCTCTCGGCTATTTGGTATTGGATCTCGGTATTAGGGGTTTACCCAACAAGTGATATCAGAGCTCCGGGCAACGCTTGGGCTTTTTTGGAGGAGTAGATCAGTTGGGAAGTTCATCTAGAGCTTTGGTTGGTGTTAAAGGTGGGATCTTTGTGGTAAAGTTTCTATCTTTTTAAGTTGGATATATTTCTTGTTTGTTCCGCAATTGTTATTGGATGCTTTGAGATATATGGCCGGGAAAGATCAAGGTGGGGAGAGTTTCTCTAGTGTGAAGACCGTCCAAAGTTTGAGTATCCATTCTATGAAGATAGATGTGGAGAAGTTCGATGACACAAATAATTTTGGACTTTGAAGATGCGAAGTCTTGAATGCGCTAAATACGCAAAATTTGAAAGAAACGTTGAAGTTGGACGGGAAACCGGACGACATTGATGAGAAGGTTTAGAAGAAAATAAATAGAACGGCGTGTGGTGTGATTAGGTCTTGTTTCACTCAAGATCTAAAATATGATGTGATGAATGAGACTTCGGCTAAGAAGATTTGGGAAGTCCGAAAATCGCTTGCATTTGAAGATGAGGCTTTATCGCTTCCAATTGAAGAAGAAGACATCCATTAGTGATCACATGAACCACTACACGAAGCTTCTTATGGATTTGACGAATGTAGATGTCATGGTTGAAGATGAGGACAATATGTTGCTATTGTTGAGTTCCTTGCCCGACGAGGAATATGAAACCTTCGTCTTTACTCTTATTAATAGGAAGACATCTCTTTCGTATAGTGAGGTCACTGCGGCACTTGTGAATTATCAACTTCGAAAGAAGGACAAAGAGACTTTCATTGAGCCGGTAGCGGGGGCATTGGTCGCAAGAGCTAAGAGTCCAAACCGTGGTAGAATGTCGCAGTCTAGAGGGGCACATCCTACAGTTGGTAGGAATCAGTGTCTCTTTTGTAGAGAGGATGAACATTGGAAAGCTGAATGCCCAAAATTGCAAGCTGGGAAGAATAAGGGAAAAACTATTCAAGCTTCAGAGTTGAATGTTGCCAAGGCTAGTGGCGACATTTCAGATTCGGATTCTTCGGGTTATTCGTGCCCAGCTCTTCCGTCAGTTGGTGTTGCCGACTCCACCGAGTGAATGTTGAATTCGAGTGCTACTTACCATATATGCCCTAGAAGGGATTGGTTCTCCATCTTTCAAGAGTTGGAAAGAGGGGATGTTGTGCTCATGGGCAATGATCACAAATGCCCTATTGGTGGTATCGGTACCGTTCGGATTCGGATGAGTGACAGGATGATTCGGAAGTTGGTTGAAGTGAGGTTCGTTCCTCAATTGAAGAAGAACATCATTTCACTTGGGGTATTTGAGGCAGCAGGCTATAGGGTGATCTTGGCGGATGCACGCTTGAAGGTCACATTGGGATCCATGATTGTGATGAAGGGCGTCAGAAGAAGCAACTTGTATTATTTGCTTGGGAGCACGGTGTTGATAGAGAACCGACGACTTCTTTGGCTAGACTGTGGCATTGCTTGTTGCTGGGATATATGATTGGTTATGTCGTGCATAGATTATTGAGGAGTGCTATGACCTATAGATTGAAGTCCTTTGAGCACGTTAGGATGAGCGAGAAGACCGATGTGGAGTTTGGCACTTCTATCCATCGATCGAGGGGTCTTATTAGAAGTGTTCAGTCAGGCATTGGGGGGCCTTCCAAGGAGGCATCATTAGGAGGTAATCGGTATTTTGTTTCCTATATTGAGGATTATACTAGGCATTTATGGGTTGCAACCAAGTCTCGTTGGTATGAAGCCCTAGTAGTCTGCAACAGTTGGAGGAGGTGTATTGGCAGAAAGGTTACCTATCGTACTAGTTCTAGTAGGGTTTTTTCTTGTATTTGTGATGAGCACATGACAGTTGGAGACACTTCATAGGAGAGGAGACATTGGGGCTACGAGATGAGATGGCGGATTCGGTGAGCTGTTCCTTTCTGAAGAAGGATCGGCGTTGGTTGTCGAGCAGTGGATTTGGTATTCGGGTTTCGACATGTTTGGGCCATCTTATGAGGTTACTGACTGCTGCATTGAGAGTTGTTAGATCTGGTGGAGCTGTTTTAGATTTTGGGTTGGTCGGATGTTTGGCTACCCAGCACTTGGTCACATCATGGATGTGAGATTGGATCTGATTGCACGATTGGGATTCAGAGGCTCTTTTGGCTATCAGTTGAGAGCTTCTGAGTTTGTTCGGAGCAGGTATGTCACATTGGATTCTCGACAGGTAGAGAGTGTAGATCAGATCAATGGGATATCACAGCGGGTGGAGGGTAATACTACTCCACATTAGGTGGAGATCACTCCACATACTCCAGGTCATTCTGCATTGTTTGGGATTCCAGCTGAGGTGACACAGCGCGGGAGTCATTTGGATTCGGATGCGGATGATGAGTTGGTAGATTTGAGTGCAGTTGGTGGATGTATCTTGGATATGGCCATTGGGTCACCTCAGGTGGAGGTGTTTGGATCGTGTTAGTTTGGGGTCATTGGTGATGCTATCAACCGCAGATTGGGTGTTGATGTTGGTGAAGAGTTGAGAACTCTTCTTTTGGATTGAGGGCCTTTGGAGGCCATTGGGTAAACTACGTGAATGCTTGATTCCTTGGGCAAAAGGATACGTAGGCAGTCTTTATGATGCAGTCGATTTGGTGAGTAGACACTGTTGTTTTGGGTGAGTGTTCGCACTCCCGTATGGGTCTCAACGTGTTGTGGATGGAGTCTGTTGTCATGAGTCTGTTGCCATGGCGTACTGGACGCAACAAGTGAGGCATTTTGGTGTAGTCAGTGTTGGCTCAGTTTTGGAAAAACGTTCGCCGAGGTGAAAATTTGTAGAAATGACGAGCGTATGGAGAAGACCGCTTGGACAGGCATGAGTGTGCTTTTGAGAGTCTGGCAGTCGACCGCGGGATTCTGGCGATCGACCGCATTCGTGCACAGATCGTTTCTGAGCTTCTGGGAGTTGGCTGTCGACCTCGTGAGTTTCTGGAGTTGTGGCGATCGACCGTCACGGTCGACCGCGCCNCTCTGGAGTTGGGGTGGTCGACCGTGACGGTCGACCGCGATGCGGTTATTGGGTTGGGTCTCCTTCCAGACCCGTTTCATTTGGATTTGTTATAAATACCCAAAGTCACGTTTTTAGGGTTAGAGCAAGAGGGTTTTAGCAGCCATTGAGAGGGGTTTTGTGGGCTTCTATTGTTGGAGCATTTGGGAGAGATCAAGAGTGATTTGTCATGGGTTTTGGTGAGATTTGTAACCCTAGTTGTATCCCCTTGATTTCTAATAATGAAAACTCACACTTCCTTGCCCCGTCCACGTAGGCAATTGCCGAACCACGTTAAATATTAGTGTTTATGGTTTGTGCTATTGATTTGGTTGTGTTTGCTCTTCTCTCTCGGCTATTTGGTATTAGATCTCGGCATCGGGGGTTTACCCAACACTAGAAACTTACAATATCACATCAACGAGCTTGCAGCCCCAGAGCACAACCGACAACTAATGTGACAATGTTTTTGATATCAAGAAACTGTCGCATGTTTCTTTGGCTATTTCCTAGCTAGTTCCATGAGAATATTCTTGGCTTCTACAAAATTGTGTTCACCTTACGTATATTTTCTACCAAAATGCTGCTATAGAACCATGCATGTTAGACATCAAAAGTCCGCACTTATTGATAAATATCGACAACACAAATTTCACGGCATGATACGTTCACGAGTATGATGAATACATATTCAATGAGGGCAAAAGAAAGCTCAAATACATGATCTGAACAAGACTGAAGCTTAAAACTGCTCGTACGCTAAGCAGTGTCCCTAGCTTTCAATATATTTTCCTAGGATGAGAACAGCTGCAGCAAAACTTTGCCTCTCCACCTCTTTGTATAGTAGTAATAACCCTCAGTACCCACATCAAACAGATGAGCTCACCCAAGAATTAAGCCCATACTCTCGTAATTCACAAAGCTTTCATCTCAAAGGCCACAACTGATGCTGACCCAGATGAAACACCTGGTGAACGAGGAATTTGAAACCAGACAATGGCAGCTTGAAGCCTCTCAAAATGAGGCCTATTTGCCTGGCTCATTTATCTGGATTGACGTCTTGGAAAGGCTTGCTTCTAACTCATTCAACTCGTCTATGTCCAGCTCATCGTCATCTTCCTCCTCTGCAAGCACTTCTTCAAAATCCTTATCCATATGGCTTGAGGTACTTGGACCTCCAGTTCCTGCCTCATTTTTGGCCTGAGGTGTAGCCAAATTAATAAGCTTAAAGCATTGACAGCAGAGTTTTGAGGCACATCATGCATGTAATGGCAAAACAATACATGCAGTGCAAAGAAACAAAAAGATATATATATACAAAAATAAACGCATCAGCAGATAAATCCTTTTCTGTATTCATTAGGATACAAATATGGTAGGAAGGATATAAAATATATATAGTATAATATATTATATATATATATATATATTATAATACAATATATATATATAGAAATAATGGGTATTGCTGGCGTACCAAGCACAAATTTTGTGCTTTGGTAGTGATGCTCATATTCTCATCCCATTCATTGAATGGGACCACTTCACATGGGGGCTTGGGAAGCTGCGATGGGGGATATGCTGAGCCATTTGGGAGGAGTGAGGAGCCCCTCACTCCAAGCCACGAAAATTGTGTGCCTTGGGTACCAAGCATACTCATTTCTCTCTCTGCTGCTCTGCTCTCTCTCTGCTCTCTCTCTATATATGTGTAGTAGTATATAGGTATATATATATGTGAGAAAAATGCGATCATTGCTTGGTACCAAGTATAAATCTTGTGCGTTGTAGTGATGTGTCACATCCTCATCCACTCACTAACTCGACTCATGATGTTGTCCTATATGTTGAATGAGGTGGGGGGGATGTGACACATCGACTACCAGAGCACAATTTTTTATGCTGGTGACCAAGCGATACCGCAATTCTCATATATATATATATATATAGTATATAGTATTATATATACTATATATATATATATATATATATATATAGAGAGAGCAGGAGAGAGAGAGAAATATGGGTATGCCTTGGTACAGCACAAAAGTTCATGCTTTGTAGTGATGGCGTCAATCTCCCTCCACTCATTCAAATATGGGAACAAATTTCACGATGGGGTGATGAGTGGAGGTGGGATGATCGACATTTCACTACCAAGGCATAAAATTTGTGCTTGGTACAAGCATACCATTATTTCTCATATATATAATATATATGTAGGTTATATATATATATAATATATATATATATATATATAGATATGGTGAAATATTCAGAAATCCGCGAGCTCCGTGAAATTATGGAGATCCGGCTCCTGAAATATCCTAATATATGTCAATCATACAGTTGAGCTTTAGATTAATGAATTTGAGATAAACTTCGATTATCCAAAGATTTAATCTTAGCTTTCCGGTATGTGGAACATATTAATGGGCTCTCTCGTGTCATATGACCTAAATATTCTACAAAATTTTATCTGTTTTTCTCACATTTGTTTTGTATCTGTATTATTGTCTCTTATTTTTTTCTATATTCTATATTCCGTTTGGCGGATATGGATATAAGTTTTTCTTACCGAGACATATCCCTCTTAGTATTTGACTGGTAAGTGGATACAGATAGGGTAAGTATCATATCTGATCCATATTCGATCCTTTTAACCCCTACTTAAACTACTTGGATATGGCCACTGGTCATATATGATAAAAGTTGAGAATATACTAAGATACTATGTAAATGAGATAGGAGATCAATCAACTCCATTACCGTCCCTCCGCAACAAAAGTATAAGCAATACAAGATAGCAACAGATTATTTTGAATTGGATTGCAATATCTATTTTTCCTTTTAACATCTTAAAGCCGTAATGAATTCTCAAATCACTTGTAAGACCACAAAAGTTTACCTGGATATAGAACAAGATTATGGTAAATGGAGAACAGAGATAAATATGTAGCTTGAAACAGCATAAAATGAGAAAGCAAATGTCACCTGTTCTTCGGGAGCAGCTTCTCTTTTGTATCTCTCATATGCTTCAGCATCATCGTCATCAACAAATAAAGTGGCATCTGACATGAATAGCTCACGGCCACTGAAAAGAATATATTTTGATTGATTTAACACTACAGTCATAGTAAAAAAAAATTAGGGCCTGAAAATAAACACTCAAACACATTAAGAAAATACCTCATTCGATCATTTTTCGCTCTTTCAGCCTGCTTTGCAGCAAGACCAGCATCTCTTTCTTCCATCTTTTTCTTTTTCCATTGATAGAACAGCTCAGGAGTCATTGGAGTAGTAGTAGTTACTTTGGCACGCTATTGAAGAAAGGTAACTTATTATTAATTCTCAAAATTATGAAATGGTATGAGAAAGAGCAAATGTTATGGCAAGAAAACAGCAATGTCACAAACATATGGATTACCTGGTTTTCTATCTCCTCTTCAATCGTAATCTTTTCAGTCTCCTCCTCCAATAAAGCCTTCATCTGAGACTTTAGCACATATCCAGGAGGTAAAGCATGCCTATAGTGGCAATCTTTGCCACCATTTGGACAAACCCAGAACCAGCCATATTGTTTCTTTTCCACTGCATCCAAAAAGTACTTACACACCTGTACAAATATTCATGATCATAGATAACAGGCCTCATCGAATGGATTTGTGATGTGTGTATTTGATGAGATGAATGAAACAAAGAATTCAAGACATCTATTACTATTATTTAAGAAAAGCCACACTTTTGGTTCGAACCTTATGTGTGTCAAGATTTCAAAAAATTCAACATATGTCCTCAACATTTTATGATGCATTGAAATTAATTAGAAGGACAATATTAGAAGATATAGAAACATCCTAACTATCATCCACTACTTGATAACTCCCCCCACTCTCCACATTTTTGTCTAATAGAAAGATACTTTATCACTTTTGGCAATAATTTTTTAAAAATCTATTCGTATTATTATTAAGGTGTTAAAATATTTTTTTACACACCAGTTTACTATATAATGCACGCATCACGTGCACCAGAGAACTAGTATATAATGAGAATAAGACATAGAATCCAATAAAAGAAGTCTATAAAGTCAGTAATACTGTTCTGATCCTCTTCCTGAAGTTTTAATATCACTGTACACTATAAACTGTTTTTCACTGAATGCATTTTAAAAGGAAACTATATTACATAGCAATACAATGTCTACAACAGGGCAAAGTTACAAGATACTGGTTGAATGAATTCTGCTATGTTTTTAAGAGAGTACAAATTAAAAAGAATTAAGTGCGGATAATACCCCACGTACTGTCACCCAATTGCAGATATACCACATGTAATTCTATTCTTGCAGATAGACCCCATAAATGAACCTTTTTTGACTCTCTACTCTCAACGAAAGAGAAAGTTATAAACACAAACCTAAGGGTAAAAGAGTCAAAAACTTTTCACTCGAAGTCTATCCGCAATTGGGCAATAATACAGAGCCTATCCACATCAGTTGAACTACAGGGGGTTTATCCGCAATTGGGCGCTAGTACATGGAGTCTATCTGCAATTAACCTAAAAAGAGAAAAAAAATCAAGCTTTAGCAAACCTGGTACACTGAAGGATTCTTTTTGGAAAGAGTTTACTTGAATGAGAGATCCCAGCTGGAATCAAGCTTGTGTTTTTAACCCCAGGCATCTACCCGAAGAAAAGAAATTATACAAAAAAAAATTGTAATGATGCATAACAGAATTTACAATCGATATTACAATGAATATAGTAGTAATTTCACATGTTTCTTATGGAGAAACCACACAAACAAATGGTTTTTCTTCCAATTCTTAGCTCAGACAGGCTTGGTCCTAAAATTTAACCTATCTAGTCCCTTTCTAGTCATCTTTCTAGTTCACTGCAAGTTACTCAATGAGTATAAAACATCAGGAAAAGACAAGGGCACAATTACCACAGCATACTAGAAGTATACCCACAACAACAATACAAGGCTTGTATGTTTAACTTTCAGTATGTTGTGGTGAATTGGTGATTATGCCCGTAGTCTCTTCCTGATGTTTTATTCTCAATGAGGAACACTGATACTTTCTTGTTGTGGATTTTTTTTTTCCATTCCAAAACTTGGTGCTAACCATTTCGATATTCATAATTATTATAAGGATAACTAGAAAGATAACTAGAGGGGTTAATTTTTTGTATCATGCATGTTTGAGCTAAGCATAGAAAAAACCATTTGTTTGTGGGGTTTCTCACTAAGGGCATGTGAAAAATTACTAGTAGATTCTCTGTAATTTTATCATAAATTCTATTATACATCATTATACATTTTCATTTTTATACAATTTCTTCTCTTCAGGTAAATAACTTGGGATTAAAAAATCATGCATAAATAAATATACAAATATAAACATGCATAAATACATATATACATACATATATGTATACGCACATACATAAACATATCGTAGAGCTATGCAACTAATTCATATTCAAGCCCAGGTTTTGACTATCTTTTTCCTGGACCTTGATGATTGCTTGGCATTTGACACTTCAATCATCAAGGCTAAAGCCGATTGTCGTCACACATCAAGAAATATATCTCATATATTATAACGTATATATAGTATAGTAGTATTATATATATTATATATTATATACTATATATATTAATATATATATTTATAATGGACAAATTATGTGTCCAAGTACAAAATATCTGAATGATCAGGGGTGTCAACTAATCCAATACTGTGATGTTACTATAGTATTAGAAGCATGGCATTATTTAAAATTCCCGATATGGCCCGATATTTATCCTTTAGGCTTGCCCGCAACCGACATCGCGTCATAAATATCCTTTAGTGCTTTTTTATGTTCGGGGCCAATATATCCCTGATATGGGCCGTATATCAGCCGATATGTTACGATATATCCTTTCATCTAGGCTATATGACAAGGATATTATGTGATACGCACATACATAAACAGTATTCTTGAACTCATGCAACTAATTCATATTCAACCCAGGTTCTTGATATCTTTTCCTGGGACTTGTGATTGCTTGGCATGCACACTCTCAATCATAAAGCTATAGCGTGATCGGACACATCAAGATAGTTACTATATATATATATATGATATAATATATATATATATTATCATATAGTATATATATATATATATAATATATATATATATGGTATATATGTACGTATACATAATATGCATAGATCTAAGAATATGAATGTTGTCCATAGTATATATATATATGACAAATTTATGTGTCCAAGGTACAAAATATCTGAAATATCAATGTCAACTAATCCATACTGTATGTTACTATAGTATTAGAAGCATGCATTATTTTAAATATCCCCGATATGGCCCGATATATCCTTTTAGGGCTTGCCGCAACCGATATGGTCACTAAATATCCTTTAGTGCTTTTTTGCTATCTTGGGCAATATATCCCTGATATGGCCGATATATCAGCCGATATGTTGACCGATATATCCTTTCATATGGCTATATGAAAGGATATATGTATACGCACATACATAAACATATTCTTAGATCTATGCAACTAATTCATATTCAACCCAGGTTTATATCAGCCGATATGTTGACCGATATATCCTTTCATATGGCTTGTTGCAAAACAATATACCACGTTTGGCAATTTTTCGGCGAGATATCATGATTTTCCCATTATATCAAATGACATTTTGCCCTAAAAAATCAGACGGAATGTTTCAATATTGATTTGTACTTTTATTTATTTCACAAGGTTGATTAATGAGCCTAAACATAAATTATTTATATTTTGTATGCTTAAATTTCATTAAGTATGTTGAGATAGTGCATTATACTATATATGCAAATATTTGTTATGGCATTCCAATATTTATCACATATCCCCGATATTTCCCCGATATCCGTAATCCGATATGAATTTTAGTCATCCAATATTTCCCTGATATTCGATATTTAAAATGTTGGAAGCATGTTTCTAGATAATTGCACAAAGTTACATGCTATTACTTTTAAGCTTGAGTTATTGCCCAAGGAAACACTATTAGTGTTCTTTCTAACTTGACCAATGAAATTTAAACATATTAACCACTTCCGTTATGAATATTTGGAAACATGCTACATAGCTTGACGCAGAACAACAAATCTACTAATAAGCTAAAACTAAAGTCATCTTTAAAGATGCTATATGCCTCATCAATGGAGACCTTCTCTCCTATTGCCCTACATATCCCTGTACAACTGATTAAGCTTGAGTGGAGTTTTGATGGGTAATTGGAAGCTAACAAAGGCTTTGTTAAGCTGAATTCATCATTACAAACAGTTAGCATCAACTTGTTGCTACAGGCATTTATCCACAGAGATTTGAAGGAAGCCAACCAATGTGAATATTTTTAAGTTTTGGAGAGGTCTGGTAAATGAAGTTCTAGATTACCCATCAAGAAGCAATGTATAGAATGTTCAGTGACGTTTTATCTATAAAGCTCTTGCAAGGGCTACATGGGAAAATAAACCACAATTTATCTCTAAAGTTCATTTAATAAAATGAGTAGTCAACTCATAACTTATGTTGCAATCAGTCAATTATAGCATCTCACATCACTTTCCAAGCATGCAACTCACCTTGCAATCAGTGATTGCAGGGTTTTACAATAGAAGGATGTGGCTGAGCTGTTATGTTCCCTGTTTGTAGGAAAAGGAAAGGGCACAACCACTCGGTTGCCAAAAACAAAAAAAAAGTAACAAGGGATTCCTAATAATTGTACATAAAATTTGTACTTTCCTAATCAAATCTGGTTAAGTTAACCAGAAATAAAAAGCAAAATGAAAAATAGAGAGTTTAACAAGCAAACGTATGTAATTCATGTAGTAATGTCATGCACTTTTGCATAATACACCAAAATCAAAAGGAAGCCGGTGCATGGTTTTTATATTCATAGTAACAGCGTTACCAGCATAATATAAGAAATGCCCATAAGCATTGATATATAATGTGTTTAGAATACACTAGACATCGAGATACTTGATAGCAAGTTATCCAGAATATACTGCTTTGTAGTAACCAAATGACTAAAATTCTAGAAATAAAGAGTTTGTGCAAATATTAAATTAGCAAAGGGTTTTGTGTAAACTTTCCCAACCAATTACTGCTCACTGCCACCTCAACTTTGTGATGGCTCTCTGCTGTTAGAGAGAAATGAGGCACTACCGCAAGGTGAAGATATGAAGGAAGAAAAGGCAAATTAAGTTTAGAAAAACAACAGAGCCTCAACCATAAATTCTCTTGTTGGAAACAAAATCCTTGCTGGAGAGGTGAGAGGAGAAGAAGAGAAGGAAAAGAGAAGAGGAGGAGGAGGAGGAGGAGGAGGTGGAGGAGGGGGGGGGGGAA